GAAAAGTCTTGCCACCGAGAATGCCCTTTCCGATTCAATTGATGTGATTGGAATCGTGTTTAATGCATTTAAGAGAAGACAGATATTATGTGTTTTTTCACCTGTAGCCTGGAAGATTTCGAGTTTGTTTTCGAGATTGTAATACTTCTTTTGCTCTCTAGTATTCTTGATTTGTCTACCTTGGCTGCTTTAATAGCGGCATCAAGCTTATAGCTCAATAATTCGGCAATTCGTTTGGCTTTAATAATCAGGTTTATGAAGAAAAACTTCATACTTGTGGACTTTATACTCGTTTGTATCCTTGCCCAATTTGCACAATCTGGCGTTACGCATTTATTGAAGTTACTGGGCATGGTTAAAAATTAATACAGCGTAAGCACAATTATTCCATATATTACAGGTTCTGACAAGTAAAGAATTTTCGGAGTCCTGGCACAAATAAGCTACGTATTGATTATCGACCATTTGTGACATGCCATAACGAGCAAAAATTTTTAAAAAAAATCTAATAGGTAGGTTTAAAATTAATAAATACAAATGTATTCTGACAGTGAATGAGATAATTATGCTTTTTATTTGCAAAATTTCTTAACCTTAACACAAAATAAGAAAAAAGTGAATTTTTAAGAAATTTGCGGGATTTCCCGGGTTAAAAAAACAACCGGGATCCCGTTTGAGAAACACTACGCAAAACCATGATCAACTACCAATATTCAGTCGTTTTGTTCACTTTGGTCACTGGTGAATAAAACCACTGAATACTGAAAAATCTATGCATAAGAATCCAAGATATTATTGTGCTAGGATCCGCATAGTGTATCAAACACATACCGTGTTTGGAACAATGAAATTAAATTTCTCAAATTACAACATATTATCAGTGTCTTTTGTATATTTGTTCTAGATTTATTTATTTTTCTTTTCAATCTGCTAATTGAAGAAAATATTAAAATGATGGAAAATATCAAGTAACAATAGTTACTTGATATGGAAAATATCAAGTAACAATAGTTACTTGATATTTTCCACCATTTTGAAGCAAAACAAATTATTTTCAAATTACAGGTATTAGTCGATATTAAGATATTGATTAGGTATTGATTAGGTAGGATAGAGGTATTGATTAATAAATGAACAAATTTACAGATAAACTATTTTAATTAATTAAATTTTTGATTTATTGTATAAATGGCTAATATATTAAAATAAATACAACTAAAGAGAAAAAGAATTCTTACTTTCTTCCGCTTTTTCAAAAAACTGTAAAGCCTAACAATAAAAATACATTTCTTTAGATTATGTCAATAAAATATTAAACAAATTTATTTAAAAAACCAAAATGGCATACAGAAGACTCATAATATTTCATTGTTAATTTGCATTTACAAAATCTAAAATATGCCATGAATAAATAAATATAATCTATAGAGACTTAAAGAATCTTACTTCTTCATACGTTGAAGTTGGTGGCGAGGCAAAAATAACAGATGCAATTTTTCTTTGATACCAGGGTAAATCAGCAAACGAATAACACCTTGATATTCATTGATTTGTAAATTAATATTTTACATAAATTTAATTTGTGAAAAATTAAAACACATACCAATTTCCTAATATATAAAGTGAAGTCGTATCGGTTGGACATATTTCTATCGCTTTCTAAATCAATAGATTAAATTTTAATGATGATAAACGTAATAAATTATTATACTCTTTAAAACAAATTAAAACTGTACTCTTAATTCTATAATTAAAATATGATATACAGGGTGTTCCAGCTAAAAATCGGGAGTTTAATTCTCAATATCTCCTGAGCAATTCATTTGCCTAGAAAGGATATTTGTATTCTTATAAAACATGGCACCGGAAGCGTGCTTCGTGAAGGATAGGACCACACCTCACATAGCAAAGTTTTACACTTTGTTATACACTATTCGGAGAGAGATTTCTCATTGCTATCCAGAAAAATTCAATATTGGTCACAACTGATCACGTGTGCAGACATTAATCGACGTGATTATTTTTCGTGGGACCTTTTTTAAAAAATGAAGTATTCAGACGTCACATAACAAGCCACGAAGACATGAGAATCGACATAATTCAAATTTTACAGACTATTATACCAGAAATATGAGATCGTGCCATCAGGAATTTCTGCATGCGGTTACGCGAATTAGTGTTTTGCAACGGCAGGCACATTAGACAATTTATTTGACAATATCCGAAATAAATAAGTGTATGAATTAAATCCTAAAAAATAGAACTTCAATTTATGAAAACGATTTGTTCAGGAGGTATTGAGAATTAAAATCCGGGCTTTAAGTAAGGGCACCTGTAAATTCCATAAAACTTTAGATTCATTACCTCTATGTGCTTTCGAACAAGTTTCGATTTAATGAGTCGTTCTTTCGTACCAACTTCTCTTGCAACATAATCCAATAATAAGCCGTACCACTAAATAAAACATACAAATTATTTATTGATTTACATATACAGTATTAATATTATATTAAATATTTAAACTGTACGGTGATTTACTAATACAACAATAAATATTTAAAAAATTATATTAAATAAAAAATATATTTTGTTGATTTACATAACGGAAATATTTTGACTTTTCTTCCTGTGGGCACTAAAAGACCTTTTTACAGGCCATCTCTGTTATGATATTTTATTATTAAAAACTTTTTATATTGATTTTCTTTTTGAAACCGTGTCCTGTTTTATATTTGTGGCGTAATAAACACTAGTATTGTGTTTTTATTCTAAAGACACATGGCAATACTACAATACTAGTGTTTATTACGCCACAAATATAAAACAGGACACGGTTTCAAAAAGAAAATAAAAAAAAAACTTTTTATATTATAAAATGGCAAAAAAAGCTTAATTTTGAGGGTTAGGGTGGGTTTTATAAAATTTTTAAATGCTAATAACGAGTAATATCATCATTAAGTCCGACCCTACTCGAGATATGACACATAATTCCCTCTATCCCCACCCCGTCGACCTTTGATCACCAAAATGTAATAATATCAATCTCCCTAATACACAAACCTCCCTGCAAAATTTTAGAAATTTTGTACAAAAATCACAGGAATATTAAGCTTCAAATAGGATACATTAAATGTACTTTCTACACAGTAACATCCATACAAACAAAAAAAAAGAATTTTTTTTTTGCATTTCTTCACGTTTTAAGGTGTCCTAATCCTAAGTCCAGGAGCGGATCTACATAGGGACTAATAGAGCTTAAGCCCGGTCCCACAAAAATTAAATTATTATCGTAAATTTTTAATACTTTTTCATTAACAATGAGCACTTATCGTATAGTAGAAAATAGATAATATAATAATAATGATAATTTATAGTATTATTTGTATTAACAAAAAATGGGGTCCCATCGGACTTCAATAAGCCCTAGATCCGCTCCTGCCTAAGTCCAAAAATGTAAAAATCTTCGGGGTCATTTTTTGATTGATCGCCATACTTTTCCTCTGTTATATATAACAGAACCGAAAAAGTAAAAATTAAATCTTAAGATACAATGTTTTAAAAAATTACTTAAACATACCCTGTGAGAATTATTATTATTGTCATTAATTTGAATTGCTTTTTCTGCGTAAGAGAACGCTTCGCGTAGTAAAGAAACTCTTTCTTCATTTGCTTTTGTAACGTGAGCTAATTCATAGCATATCCTCGCTAACCTCCATAAAACTTCATCGTTTTCCATGAAACTCTCTTGGTGTAGAAGATCATAAGCCTCTTTATACTTCTTATTATCGTACATTTCATCGGCTGTTTTTATGACTTTATCATATTGTCTAAAATCTATAAAAATAAATAAATAAATAAATAAATAAATGTATGACAAATATAGAATTATGACAAACATCCAAATACAGTAATACCCCGACTTACGCGAACCCGGAGTTACGCGATTTTCAAATCTCATCGATTCGTCTTTTGTTTGAGCGCCACGCAACCCTTGATTACTCACTCCCCCACACCATTGTTCAGCTTACATGTTAGGATGTGTCGCGCGGAATCCACACATAGCTACAATTTATTTTGTGTTATTTATTTCTGTGTTTATTATATCTACGGAGACTCGAGAGACTCTACTATGTCATCCAAACGAAGTAGAACTAATTCTTCTGCATAAAACAAGAAAAGAAAAACTTTATCTTTGGAATGTAAAGTTAACATTGGGTATGTTCGTAAAGTCGAACGAGTTAAACGAGAATGACGTCATCGTTATTCCTATTTCGTTAGACTTTTCGAACGATTCGTTACTAACGCGTTTAACTCGTTTGACTTTACGAACGTACCCATTATTAAAGACTTCGATACAAAAATGAAAATTTGTGAATTGGCAAAGAAGTTTGATCTACCGGAATTGTCGGTCAGAACAATTATAAAAGGCAAAGAAAAAATTCTCGAAGCTGTGAAAAATGCTCAATCTTTAAATTCAAGCATCATTCGTAAACGTCACAGTATTATCGCTGAGATGGAAACAATGTTAAAATTATGGCGTAATAATCAAGTAAATGTGAAAAATTGTAAAATAATATAGGCCTAATTTGTTATACATATGTATTATCTAAGATTTTATTAAACATTTTTTTCTAAATTATTGTTTTCTTTAGTCTCCGGCCCCAATTAAAAATTATTTGTATGTATTTATATGCGAAATTATACCCCGACTTACGCGAATTCGACTTACGCGGTTACCGCTCGGTCCCACCTATCGCGTAAGTTCGGGGTATTACTATATCCTAATTATGGCACAGCGGTCCTTAGTCTAACGCAAACCGCTAGATGTATTCGTCTGATTTATTTACTAGTATTAAATTATCAAATATTCGCTTACTCATATCATTTGATTCTGCTATGAACAAATTCTTAGTTAATAATTTCATTTAATCATATCTTAAAATTTGTTAGAATAAACATAACAACGTTGCTACAAGTTAACAACTTATGGCATGAACAAAGACGAAACCTGATGACGTCGTTAATTTTGTTAATAATTTTTCACCTCTCATCGATTAACATAGTATTACGTCGTGTGACTTACTTTTTTTAATCAAAAGTTTCCAAAAACGCGAGCCAAAATTTTGTTAATGTCGCGCAGTGAAGCACCTTTGGATGTTTTATCTGAATGGAAACAAAATTCAAGTGCTTCACTGCATGACATCAACAAAATTTTCTTGTGTCTTTGGATTTATTTGTTTGTTTTGGATTTCTTTCACGTTTACTGGTACATAAACGTGTTAAATTTGTACCAAACAAACGCGTATTCTTACTAATTTTTGTATGGCCTATAACTTTCTAATTGATATTTTTGTTCATGGATGCACGATTTTAAAAATATTTTTGGATGACTTTGAAAAGGCCTTCTAGGTCTATTTTATAGTCACCAATAAATTCAGTACGCATCATAACATATACTCCCATTATTTATCTTGGCCTGCTCTCATCCGTAGAGTCATTACAATACGCGTAACTTGACTTTTGGGATACCCTGTATATGTATTTCTGAATTGTCTTTTTTTTTTACCTGGACACAGAGCCGAAAGGATCTAATAGACATAACTTTTCACGAGTGCGATTTAAAATGACTAAAATGGCACTTCTGCTTAGTTATTAATTAAAAAATCCAGTAACGAGTTGCTTAAATGTTTAGAACTATCAAGCTGAGCTGAGGTCTGGATAGTCAGGCTGTGAGCAGCCAGCTGAGTTGTGAATTCGGACTGGAGCTGAGATCTAAGCTGAGCTGGAGTGTGTTGCAGCAAAGTCCATTTTTATTGTATGCTCTTTATTAACTTAGGCTACTTAACTTACGACCTAGTTGAAACTTTGCATATACTGTATGTGTGTTCCCGATAACCATACATTTTTTTAGTTTTAAACTATTTTAGCGATTAGCAAAACTTAGCGAATAATTAAATTTGTAAATAAAATCTGCTTACAGAAGATGCCACAAGTAGCTTAATAAATTAAGCAGGGAAGTGTACCCTTTAAGTCGTGCAAAAGTGACAAGATGGGAAGGGAGTCTCTTTTACCTGATAGGATTGAAGTTGAGGACAGTTTTATTTTGTTTTTCTACATTTATATAGGTTATATTTCATTATGACACGGGATGGCAAGGAAAAGTAATACCGTGGTGATACTGCATTATAGCAGTAGTGAAAGCAAAAGCAGCAATTGAAATAAAATGTTGTCGCGCAATGGCGTAGCGTGGGTGTCAGCCGCCCGGGTCGGAGGAAAATTTCGCCGGCCCCTTATTTAGGTATCTCAATTTAAAAGACTAAAATTCAGTTTCGTCACAGAATAAGTAATGAAAAATTCCGTGCTATTGTTGCCACCTTTTTAAAATCGCCGACCCTGACGGCAGGTGAGGTTTGTTCGAACAGAAGTTCCTGACGCATGCGTATATCATTTTGCAATGAAGAATAATTTGCAGTGCATGCTGGTTCTAAATCAATTACAGTTAGCGACTAGGGAGACTTCGATAGGAGTAACGTAAGTAATCTAGATGACTTAACCCTATTGGATATTGGAGGTGTATATGGGTGCGAATGAATCGTACAAGCAAAAAAAAAAAAAAAAAAAAACAGGTCGATAGGTTGCGCACGATATCCCCGAACAGCGAGTCGGATGGTAATACTATTCCCACTATTCCGTGCTGATTTCATTCGGTCCGAATCGTAGGTGGACGAAAATATGAAATAAAATGGTTCAAATTCTTACAAGATATTATTATTATTTATTGTGTAATTTTGCCGCCCCTAAAAAGTGCCGCCCGGGGCGGGCCGCCCCTGCCGCCCCCCTACGCTACGCTACTGTTGTCGCGGGCTAAAGATTGCATAATCGTAAGGTGAAAAATTCACATCGAGCTGCGCTAAGCTGTAAAGTCAATCTGCGATTGTGGACTCCAGCTGAGAGCTGAATTAATCGTCAAAATTCTGAGATATAGCTCAGCTCAGATCAGCTCATTTGGTAGAACTCTACTTAGAGAAAAGTATTATTTCTGCATGCATACTATTTCCACACAACACACATATCAATGTTATGCGTGCAGTGTTATCATGACTTAATCAGCAATTTCACATAATAATTTATTTAATAATATTTTTTTCCTGAAAATACATAATTGAAAATAATATTTTCCTGGAAGTAAAATATATTTTTTTCCACTATATATTTCGGAGAATTATATTTTCCTCGAGGAAAATATTTATTTATGCTACTCTATCGAGTTTGAAAGAATTTTAAAATCATGTATATACAATAATCAGCAATTATTGTATGAATATATAAGAAAGTTTAATTTTTATTGATTTTCTTTTTGAAACCGTGTCCTGTTTTATATTTGTGGTGTAGTAAACACTAGTATTGTGTTTTATTCCAAAGACACATGGCAAATTTTCCATCAAATTCCTTTATTAGTTGATCTGTTGTGCAACTGCAGTTCGAAAAGTCGTTTGAGTCAAAGACTTGACAAAAGGAATATTTGTGTATCGACTCAACTAATAAAGGAATTTGATGGAAAATTTGCCATGTGTCTTTGGAATAAAACACAATACTAGTGTTTACTACACCACAAATTTAATTTTTATTATTTTCACTATAAATATTTTAAAATAAAAATTTCTAAACTATTTTATCCAACTACAAAAAGCACGACAGATTGCTTTAACAGAGGACGAGCACATCGCGGTTCTAGACTTCGAGAGTTTATACTCATAGGTTAAGCTGTAACCATGCCATGAGTATCTCATGCGCGAATTAGGTAAATACATTAAAGAATCTACCGGATTGCAGGAAGACTTGCATAAATTATATGATGTAGTTTGCTACTCTTCATTCTTCAAGTTCGGAAAAAAATCTATATACAACAATCCTGCTAATGGGTAGTCCAATGGCAGAATTGTTATGCGAGTTAGTGATTGGTTGAAAGAAAAGTGCTAATCGGATTCATGGATAACATCCTTCTGTACAGACGATACGTAGATAATGTATTAATAGTTAAGAGAAATAAACCTAAGATAAACGAATTTATATGTCACATGAAACATACAAAATTCCAATCACGTTAAATGAAGAGAACTAGATCAGTCGCTACTGGGTGCAATCTTCCCATAAGGATAACAGAACATGAGTACGATGTTAGAAAAGAAAAATACAACACAGTATTGGCAGCGCTAACCTCTAAAATACTCTGCATTTTGATAAAGCTTTTACGCATCATTGTAAATCCACGGGTAGGACAAACAACTGAGAAAAGTACCATCTACAAGCAAGCCATGAACCACAAAAATGCTAACTGCCTATCGACGTCATGGAAATATCTTGCGTAATGATGTTAAACCTTAATACAAAAAGTTATATCTGTATTAGATAAGTATTGATGTTTATATACGTATTAATTACGTATTTTCATATAATCATTTGATTTATTTTGGAGTTGTACGGGTCGGGGACCGTCAAAAATTAGATTACGCAAGTTTGGGGTAAGGTCCTGCCACCAGGTGTGTTTTGTCGGACACACCGCCGAGTTAGAAAAAAAAATACAGTGGGTGATCCGTTAATTAATTAACGAACACTTTCGCGAAAGATTTTTATGATCGGATGATCGGACAACGAACACATGTTCGGATAACAAACACTTTACAGAACAAACATAAAAAGAAGTAACAGAAAATAACGAATACCGATTGATTTTCCCTTGTCTTCAGGTAACAATTCGAAACCTTTCAGAGCGCGGGAGACGTCAACATCGACGCTCAACCCGATACCGATCGGATAGTATCCCTTCGAATTTTGAAACTCTCCCCTGTAATTCCAGCTTTTTGTTTACCTTTCTGACAAATGATTTTTTATAGTCTTCGCGACTGTCGGACGGATACTTGTTAAGTTTTGCGTCGGGGTTTATTTACGAAAGGTGAAAGATGTGCCATCAGATATTCGTTAACGTTTTAATACCAAATTTCGAATTTCATCCGGGCCTTGCATTTAAATAATTTTTTGTGGGCTAGTTGATTTCTGTTCTCTGAATTTTTGTAAGTGCTTTTCTGAACTTTTTATTTAAAAAAGAAACTGATAATATTATGGAGCATAAAAAAAGGAATGTCAAGAACTGTGCTGACCGTAGAAACCAAGTAAGAGATAATAGTCAAGGTAGAAAGTGGCACAATATGTCTGATGTTGCTAGGCAGTATGGCTTGAACAGATCTACAGTAGGCACAATCTTAGCTATGAAAGATATATCAAGAAGTCTCAAGCTGCTAATGGAGTAATGAAAATCACATCTGAGAAATAAAAAGCATTTTAGAGCTCATAATGGAACCTGAAACTGACCTGACGACAGAAGAACTCCGGGGATGTCAGAACAACGATCATCCAAGTGGCATCCAAACCAGAATAAGGTTAATTGGGTTGGGGATCTTTACAATTACAATACTATTCATTACTTCCGAAAAATCCTAAAGAAAACAGAAAAGCAATCGAGATTGGACAGATTATTTAACCTCCACAGACGGAAAAAACACGACTAATAAATGCAAGACTGCATATATATATGTATTTTTACTATTACATATAAATAAACGTAGTAAAAAAGTATATATTTTTTTATTTTTTGGAGTCTCCGGAACGAATTAATCAAATTCCCATAAAAACGTACGGTAAATCGATAATCGGTTAACAAACAATTCGGATAACGAACAAAGTCTTGGAACGGATTATGTTCGTTAACCGATCACCCACTGTAGTTATGACGCTAGGGTAAGAGTCCCTCCGAAGTCCAGGAATGAGCCTCTCAGGAGGATGAATGCAGGGTCAAGTACAAATAAGAGTTTAATATAGAAAAACAAAGTTCTGAACAAAATTATAAAATCAAATTTAGGAAATTGGTCTATTTCTATCTATAAAACGAGGGGCTACCTAACGGGGGGATTTGAACCCTGCACGACTCACAACATACCAGGAAAGAGTTGTCTTCTCTTTAAACGCTGTTTTTAAAAAACCTTTAAAAATGTTTTAGACAGTTATTTTAAACAAACGAGTTGCGTAACTTTCCCTGAAACATTTAACCACCGAAATTTAATAGCATTAATGCCCCTAATATCCAAACCTCCCTGCAAAATTTCAGAAATTTTCGACAAAGGACACAAGAATTATTAAGTTTCAAAGTGGGTGAACAAAAACCCACTTTGAAGCTTAATAACTCCCCCACACAAACATTAATATCTATATATATTAAAAATTGAATTGTGACTTTACAAAAAAATTATAATTTTTTTTTCTGTAAATAGTCACAATTCAATTTTTAATAGAAGATATCCTGGGTTATTCATGTTATCATGTATGCTGTTATCGATACATATGTTTCGAGGTCCCCTGAATCGATACACATAAAACTACAAGTAAATTTTAGGGAATACATTAAATATATAAGGAAAACTACTTCCCCGGCGCGATGTATATGCCAAGCAGCCTGCTACAGAGTGAATAAGACATTTTCTCGATTTTGCTCTATAATTTTTATAAAATGATTATTTAAAACATTAAAAAAATTATTTTATCTTATAAATTATATTTCTGTAACATTTAATCCCAAGTTCTAAAAAGCTTAACTATTCGTTGAATAATTTTAAAGAATAATTAGTTGTAAAATTTTAATTACCCATTTTTTCGTTCTTCTTACATGCAGCAATAAATAAAACAGTCCAAGATGGCAGAAAACTTATGAACGATGACCTTTGATGTAATGTAACCAACTGAATTATCTTTCTAAGCTGTAAAAGTTAATAATACAGTATATCAATAGTCTTATAAAAATAAAATCTTTATACTATATGTTATCATATCAGTAATAAAAGTTTACATGAATTGAATTTACTGATTATTCGGTTAAGATAATATATCAGATTACATGCTAATTCATATCAATTAAATATATTGGAAGTATTTAAAGTTTGAGACGTTATAAAATGACCTCGAACTTTAAATAGGGCGAGTCACGTTGAAAGTATTATTGGATACTTAAAAACTATCAGAGAAATATCAGATGAGGCATAAATTATGAATCACTCTAAGCTGGTCTATTTAACACAAGGAATGAAGAGTATCAACTATGGTACGAAACGAAAACAAAGATGATTTCTTGAAAAGTTAAAAAAGTAAATGAATTTTAATTGAAACTTATTTACTTTTCTCTTAATATATGAAATACAGTAGAACCTCGATTATCCGGACTAATTGGAGATGAAGGTAATCCGGATAAGGAAAAATCCAGATAATCGAAACAAATACTTTAATTTGTCTTTTAATGATAATACAACACGTTTCTTTTCGATGACATATCGGTAATATTAAAAGTAAATACTGTATTTAAATCGTGATCAAATTTTCAACAAACAAACGTTCGTATTGAATTTGGACTACTACTGACCAACGCTAACAGACTACCTATTGTTTAAAAGGCTCTCTGGTGGCGCAAGAAGACGGATTTTATAAAATAAAAAGCAGTTGAAACTGCATTTTTATGAATAAAAATTTGACAAACTATTTATCGTTTTATGACGAGTAAAATTTTTTCGTCGCGTTCGCGGCTTTTAAGTAATGCGTAAACCTTCGAGGCGCGAGGCCCTTCGGACCGCGAGGCATAGGCGGTGGCCCACGTCGTCCATGCCTTACGCCGCCCTTGGTCATAGAAATGATGTAATTTGAATATAAATTATTTATAAATACGTATGTCAAGTTATATTTTTATTACTACGTAAAATATATTTAAGAGTTTACGACCACTGTGCTGGGTGAGACGTTGTTGAAACAAAAAAAGTTATGCATTCCATCACGTACATAAACAGTGCCGTAATTCGCCAAGTGCAAATCAGCAAATTCGTAAAATTTTTGTTTATTTTGAACAATCCGGATAATCGAAAATCCGGATAATGGAGGTCCGGATAATGGAGGTTCTACTGTAAATAGTAACGTGTAAAAAAAAAGCAAAATATAAAATTGAGATTCACGACTTATTTAAATATTTTCGAGTAAATCTGATCTTTTTCATCACCACAACCACCTAACGATCTATTACAAGCTATCCCAATCAATATTTTCTAACAAATGCAATCTCTATAGTCAAATAGTTCCTTAATTTTTCGGATCCATCAGACAAAACTAGGTTGCTGATGTTAATTTGTCTTCACTATTCTCGATAATGATCTTTATCAGAAATCCTTCGTTAACCGTATTCTTGCTGATGATATAGGCCTAAGAAAGGATATTTGCTTTATTAAATAAAAAAAAAAACCTGAGATTTTCGTTATGCCTTTTTTCATATGTTTCAATGATTTACAATATCTTTTCATCCTCTAGTTGGCCAATTTTCGCAACAATGGAGGATCAAACAGTGAAAGGCACCAAGCGCAATCTAGTTTGGAGTTCCTTTTGCTCTAAATATAATGAGAGCTCGATTTAACGAACGAAATTTCCGGTCTTTATGTCATATTCGAAAATTAACACTCTTTTAATTTTAAAATGCTTTTTATACGTAATTAAATCAACATGATTTTTTTCAAATTCGAGTCACTGTTTCACAACCATATCTTATTGTTAATCGAAGATAATTTAGATATAGTTTTCCTTAAATTTTCTCAAAAATATTTTTGATTTCGCAAAATGTTAATAATGTCTTTCCCATTATCGATTGATCTTTTCCTTGTATTTTTTTCATTGCTTTTGCAATTGATATTATCTCTAAGACATTTAAAATTATTTTAATTAAACAGCTAGTTACTGGTATCTACAAACAGGTTAGTTGAAAATACCTCTCAACAAACATACGTATATATGTATTTCTTAATATATTGTTTCAATCAATTCTGTTTATTATTGTCCCTTTCTCAATGAATGTTTTTCACAGCATTGAGCACCCAGAGAGGGGCCAAGGGATCTTGACGTTCTTTAAATAGAAAAGAAAACAAACACTAGAAAATTTTCCAAAAATCTTTTCCTAATTAAACTTCATTTTTTATTTATATTGTATCCTGACTTCTATTTCTATATTATTTATAAATTCGTGGTCACATAAGGAGAAAATTTTATTGAATTTACATTAAAAAGTTTTTATCAGTTAAACTCGGCTCTCTCCAAGATTAAATCGGAGCTCGCCACTGATCTGAGCTCACGGAAACTACCAATACGTCAACATCATCAGCAAAAGTAAAAATTGTATTATTACATGTAAGGCTGCATTAAATTTCAACACAATATTATATTTTACATTGTTCCATATAGGCCTATTGATCTTTACCCATTTCTTTAACCTTCTTAAGAGAAAAATTAAAATTGAAAAAGGGCAGGAATGGCGAATGTATGGCAAGCGTGTCCAAAGCGAGATGTCGGAAGAATCTGCTGCCTGGCACACAACATATTGTATTGATACAACTTCCTTTATATTTTACTACATAAATCTTAAATTTTTTTTTCTACTCCTTGTTTTAAATTCTATTCTGTTTATCGTCCTTTTCTTCATCAACTCTTTCAAATTTATTCTAATTAAATACATTCAAAACATTTCATTCTATTTGAATTCCAAATCATCGGCACGCATGTCTTTTGAATTTAAATATACTTTGTGGGTCGTAGGAAGAGAAAAAATAGTGTTCCGGCGCAAAAAGAAAGGTTGTCATGATTACGCCATGATCTCTTAATTTCTTTATAAGGATTTTACTTTCATTAATTGCCTTATTTAGTTATTTTAACTTTTCTAGTTTCTAAATATTCTTAGGAAGAGATTATGGCTGTCTTAAACCAAACTCTAGAATATCGATTTCGGTTTTGTATATAGGTTATCGTCACAGCACTAGTAGAGGGATAAACTATTTCCGAGAAGGAGATAGTAATACTTTAGAGATAACCCCTTTTTCCTATGAAGAAATCTAGTTGTGAAGGGGGAAAGCGCACTGAGTAGCGCTGATGCCTATAAGTGTGCCAAAATGTAATAATTTAAAATTTCATAACACAGTGTAATGGCTGACAATAATACTGTCTTTACAGATCTGCAATTTTTTCCTTTTCTGTAACGCGAACCCTCGACAGCCGTTTCTCCGATATCTTTATTGTGGGAAAGTATAAATTCGGTACTTTTCTCGTAACAGTCCCTTTTTATCATCTCTGCAGGGCACGGTACATCTTCCGAATTACAAAAGATTTCCAGTTTGTGAAGTCCGATACTTCCGTCACATTCTCCGTCAATAATAATAATAATAATAATAATAAGTTGACTAACTTGTAAGTGCCATGTTTTCTTGGAACAAAGCGAAAATTACAGTAATATTTCAGAATTAGGAAAGAGATTAGTTTGACACTGTTGCACGCTAACGAGTAATTTGAAATTACAATTGTATCGTAATATTGCAGCAAAAAGTAGTTGGCCTTAGCCAGACTGGTTGGACCTGTTCATAGTGGCTTGCTTTCGCACATAGACTGAAATGGAGAGTTCCTAAATGCAACGTTTTGACAATATTTTCTATGTCAGCAATATGTGCTTACCACGAGAAAATGAGTGCCGGATGACCGCGGTGATTAAGATATCAGTCTACCGCTCGTAGGGACCCCGGATCGAATCCGAGCTGTCGTTCTTCCGCGAAAAATTCATGGCGTTTTTCGGGTAAGAACGACCCCGGTCACTCAATTGTGAGCTTGGCACGATGGGTATGGAAAAATAGCGATACGTTACGACATAAAACATGCATAAGATATCCATCACTACATGGATGGACGGAAGAACTCGGTAGCTCTAATACTGTATAAGCAAAGCAAAACGTTGATTTTAGAAACGTATGCAAGCGCTTAACGCTACCATAATGTTGAGATAGTGAACGACAGAATTTGATCCTTACGTTACCAGTTAGACAGCGTTTTTACGTTGACTTTAGTAATTTTACCAAATGGGGCCGTCAACTGGTGAAGGACAGTCCATGACGGATCGTTCAAAGAATTCATGTTACAATCCAAACTTTAATACAAATCTGAGTCCCAATAGTTAAGGCCATTAAGGCGTCAGCCTATCGCTCTAGTTGACTCGAAATCGAATCCGGACGGAAAATCCCAAAAATTTTTCATGGACGATCTGTACCAAATTTGTAGTCATTCGTCCTTTTCCATTGTTAGTTCGAAATTAAATAGTTTAGAATAGACTCTTTCTTAGTGTTTTTTAAAAACTCTTTCTGCCCTGCAGGCTCTATGAGGGTCTCTTTTAGTAAGCCTATTATAGAATCGGTCAGGTCCACAATGGGGAGACCGGGTGGGGCCCGACATATCCGGATGGACCAACCCCCGATAAACTCCTGGCCCGTCCGAATTCGATCCTGGGTCTCGTAGAGCGGTAGGCTGCCACCTTGACCGCTCGGCCATCCGACCTTTGCGTTTTCTTAGTGTTCACAGGACACAGTCAAAAAATGAAAACACAAAAAGAGAAACAAATGTTTTCATTTTTTGACTCCACCGAGAGGGCCTTTTAAGTGGTGAGGTATGGGGCCCGACAAATCTGGGACGGATCGCCCACGGTAAATTCTTGGTGTTATTCACCCGAATTTGATTCCGGGTTCCTAGAGCGGAAGGAAGACGCCTTAACCGCTTCGACCATCCAGCCTTGAGGCCTGGCCTTCTCGGTCGTCCGGCAGTCAACAAAAATTAAAGTTAAAATCCTTGAATCAAAGAATAAAATAAAATTAAAAAATGATGTAAAACTTTATCACAAATTCAAATGATACAAGTACTATTCAAAATTAAGTTATCATGTGGTGGTGTGGAGGACAAAGGAAGGATGACAAAGAAGTAACCATAAAATCAAACAGGATATTTATTCAACTACAGCTACTTAGTCCTTCGTACACCTGGTTCGTTTACACTAAACACACTTGATCCCAAACTATAGTACGTGCACAAGTTCGAATCCGTCCGACAAAATTCTATATTTTCACAAATAGAACACGTGCTCGCGACAATAAAANTATTAAATATAACCAATCAATAACTTAAATTTAATTTTAAACGTATAAAGTAGTTGCATTCTTACTTCAAATTTAGGATATTTCCAGTTGATTTTCTTCATTCGAAAAATGGGAGTTAATATCCTGCTAAATTTTGTTACTCCACTCATACTTAATTCGTAGTTGTACACTAGTTGTACAGAACGACGACAAATACAAAGTAAACATTCAATCGAAATTATTACTATTAAAATATGACAAAAGATGGCGGTAATGTGGTAGAAACGGAAGTTCAATTGACATCTTCCTGTGTGTAACATGATGAGAAGATTGAAATCGACAGATATAATAAATCCTTCATTTTAATATTGCACGCACACTAAAAAATGATTTTGATATTGGTAACTACTTGTTTATTAATTCAATGTGTTTCTGCTAAAAATATCCTTGTGTTTGGTGGTAATGGGTTTCTCGGATCTGAAGTGGTTTACGATTTGATATTAAAAGGACACGATGTTACAATTGTTAATCGTGGAACTCCGTATTGGGACTTTGAAAGTAGGATAAAACCTTTAGTCAATCATATAATATGTGACAGATACACTGGATTGAAACATTGTTCTTCTTTTGTTTCTTTCATACAAAATGTTAAATTTGATTTTGTCATAGATTTCAGTTGTTATCATTCTAAAGTTTTGGGAGATTCTCTCTCTCTCCTTACTGGTAAAACTGATCTTTATATCTTTATCAGCACAGATTCAGTCTATGAAGTATGTGTAACTAAGACCCCGGCTACTGAATCTAGTGAGGATGATGCTGTGAGACCAACGAATGAAGAAGAGAGATCAAATCTTAATTCTAAAGATTCTTATGGACATCGTAAATTAGCCTGTGAAGAATTACTGAACAAGCAGCGTTCGGAAGGAGGAATACCGTTTGTGATACTGCGTTTACCCGATGTTATTGGACCGCGTGACAACACCCATCGCTGGTGGATGTATCAGTTGTGGATACAATATCACAATATCACTGGAATTCCAATATATGTTCCTCAAAAAGTTCTAAGAACTTTAAGCAGCATGGTATATGTTGGTGATGTTAGTAAAGTTATTATTCATATTCTTCATAAAGTTGATAGTAAAGAAAGTAATAATATTGTGGATGGAGTCTTTAATCTAGGTTTCAATGAAAACTTTAATTTGAAAAAAATTTTATACAAAATTCAGACTTTATTAGGAATTAATGGAGTGGAATATCAATATCCTTCATCTGAAGATGCATTTCATCTGTATCCTTCTGTATATCGTGGTCCTGTTAATATTACAAAAGCACAAAAATATCTTGATTGGAATCCCACACCTTGGGATGTTGTTGCAAAAACAAATGTTGAGTTTTATAAACAAGCCTTTTATACTTTTGAACAAGAAAGAAATGAAGTATTACAAAAACTTGAAACTTACGCTGTAGCACCATCTCATATTGATATATTTCAACAGACTACTCGAAAAGATATAGAAAAGCATTGTAAGTAGAACACCAGGCTAATTTTAATAACTACATTATAAAAAAAAATATTTACCAGTAATTTTAAATATTCCAGCATTTAATTTTGAATAATGTATTTATATTTAATTGATATATGTATATATGATGTCACAAATTTTTCAATATTTCTTAGAAATAATTATATATACCCATCATGGGCAAATGCGGCTCCGAGAGCCACATGTGGCTCTTTTTTGAGTTACATGTGGCTCTTGCTGAAAGTGTTAATTTCTGCTTTTTATTATTATTTTTACAATTTTATTTCCACAATTTTGTGAAAATATGTTTATTAAAAAAATTCAATATTTGTTTTATATAATATTTATATTATATAATAAAATTGCGGTACAGAACTGCAGTACAGAAAAAAGCACAGAACTGCGGCTCCCATGCATTTTGCAAAACCTACATTTCGGCTCCCACTGAACTCTTGCTTGCCCACCCCTGCAATACAATATAAATATTCTAT